CCCCCCGGTCAGGGGCGGACTGGCCCGGAGGGATACTGGCAATTTCCCGGTGGGCAGTCGTGGCCACACGCCGTTGCCCCTCGCTCCGAGCAGCTCCGCATCCGCGCTGTATGCGGCACACAGAGCCAGACCCGCCGCTTGTGCCACATGCGGATGTGACGCAGGGGGCGGGGCTTGAGGGGCACGCAGGGGCGACGTCGGAGGGAGGGCCGTTCTCAACCCATGTCCCAGGCCTAGTTTGCTTGTCAGTCCTCTCCTGCCCCCCGGTACCCAAGACACAGGGGTGCCCGGCCAGCCCCAGGGCGGGCTCTCAGGGAGTGTGTGGGGTGGGAAGACGCCCGCAGTGCTGCGGCCTGAGGGGAGACTGGAGCTGGTTGGCCAAATGCAGTCGAAACCGTCGGAGGGAGGGCCGTTCTCAACCCATGTCCCAGGCCTAGTTTGCTTGTCAGTCCTCTCCTGCCCCCCGGTACCCAAGACACAGGGGTGCCCGGCCAGCCCCAGGGCGGGCTCTCAGGGAGTGTGTGGGGTGGGAAGACGCCCGCAGTGCTGCGGCCTGAGGGGAGACTGGAGCTGGTTGGCCAAATGCAGTCGAAACCAAAGAGCTTCCAACGCCGGCACGTGGAGCCAGGCCCCTCCTAGCGCCTGGTGGGTGCTTGGCGCCAAATGCCGGCTGCCCAGGGGACGTGCTGGCAGAAATTCGGCATTTCTCCGCCTTGGTGGTTGGCGTCTCTTGAACCGTCTCCTGCCGGAGGGGCCCGGTCGGAGCGTCAGTCACACGCCTGCAACCCACTCACCCCGCAGCACTAGTGTCGTCTTCAGCCTTGCTGCCACCCGCGGGCACCCCGCAAGGGAGGTGGGGTCTGTGGCCCTGGGCACTCCCCAAGGGCCACGGCCCGCGCTCAGCTGCACTGGCGTACCTCCCCCTCCTCTGCCCTTCCGCACCTTTGCCACACGGCTTTTGGGGGGCCGGCGGCCCGAAGCCGGGCGGGGAGCAGAGGTCGGAGAGGGAACGCGGAGCATGCCCAGCCACACCGAATGCAGGGCAGACAAGGCCCGTGAAGAGACTAGTTGTGTCTAGTCGCCTCTCACAACTCCCAGGCCCTGGTTTGCTCGCTCGGCCACTGGACTCCCTTTTCTGTGATTGGTTGTTACATTTCCTAGTGGTTTCGCCCAGAACGGGTTTGTAGCGCGTTAGCATTTACCGTAGGCCAGTGCTCCCGGTGAAAACAAAACAAAGACAATCGACTTCAGCCAGCCTGTGCAAGTGACTTTTTTTTTTTTTTAAAAGTGCAATGAAGTGAAAAAAATACGTGCAACAGAGGAGTCCACAGGCAACGTGACCGCTGTTGTGAACATGGGCCTGCCCCAGCTCACACCAGGCAAGTTCGGGAATGACTCAGCCCCCGTTTTTATCAAAGAGGCCTGAGAAATGTGGTGACCTGCTCCCTTCTGCGGGGGATCTGGGCGCCCGGGCTATTCTTTAGCTCAGCGCGCCCTTTTCGGAGAGGCGAAGGCTTTGCTGGCTTAGCCCCAGGGACACCCACACAAAGCCACTGCACGGCCCAGGGGCGCGCCAGGCCGGGTTTAGACGGCCGTTTATGATCCGCAGTCACCCACTGAAAGACAACAGGAGGGCTTAGCCTAAGACCCGGGCGGTGCCCGGAGTGCGTCTGTCTGAATGGCCGCTGCGTTGCACAGAAAGGGGGTCCTTTGCCTGGGGCAGGGCAGCTGCGCGCTTTGCCGCCTGCAAGGAAATGGCCTCACTAGCCAGAGGCCCTGATGAGCCTTCACTGTGCAACCTGTGTCACCATTTACACCACTTACCAGAGCACAATTGGTGCCTTAGAGCCACTTGGCACCAGGGCTCCCTGCACGCCGAGCGCCCGGGCAGCCACCCAGGTGAGTCCGGGGCCGCCCAGCTGATCAGCAGAGCGCCCCCAGCCGGCGTTTCTATTGGTGGTGCACAGCTGCCTACGCCCCCGTGCACAGACCAACGTGCTCTGCGCATGGATGGGAACAAGCAGGCGGGGGGCACGGCTTGCGCCCAGCGCAAAG